TTTTGCCAATTATATTTACAGCAGCAGCAGCAGCAGCAGTGGCTGGAGTAAAGGACCAGTGATGTGACATCACAGCTGACCTTGAGTCTGCTACCTCCTTTCTTCCTCCCATAGAACCAGAGCTAAGAGCCTTTGACCAAGTTTATTGGAGGACCTGGGGAAGGGTTGAAAGAGAGCCACAAATGACAGGACTGAGAACTTTTTAACAGTGGCCTAAAGCTTATGGCTGAGGTGCCTGCAAGCACATTTCAAAAGCTGTCCTGACTGGATTCTGCTACAAACTTGGATAACCTTTGACTTCCCCGGTATGGTTCTGTGTAGCCATCACATTGGATTTTTGGACTCAGTAAAGAATCTCTGGTGGCCTACTGTTAAGATGCTGCACTGAAATCCTGAAAGCACACGGTTCAAATCTACCAGCTGCTCCATGGGAGGAGAAGAATGGGTAGTCTACTCCCGTGTGATTAACTGCCTCTGGAAACTCATTGGAAGGTCAGCTATGGGTCAGTTCTGGCATGACAGCAACAAAGCCATAAGATTGATGTTGGGATGATTAGAAAGATATGTGAGTGTGTGGGACATGTCTGAACTCATGGGACTGGATTTTATGTTGCTGATATTGTTGATGGGGACAGTTCCCTTTTGTGAAGTTGCTAAAAGTCAGTTATGGCCATCTCCACATGGGTCTTGCTCCTTTTCCGGTTTGAATTAGAAAATATGGGCAGTCTCCCCATGTGTGGTTTACAGCCTCCAAAACTCCCCTGGCAGGTTAGCTATGAGCAGGTTCCAACTCAATGACAATGACCTTCAGGTTTTTTAATATCTTATACACACACACACACACACACACACACACGTATACATTATATATAATTGTATCTTTTTTAAAAAAAACTTCTTGGGGTGATAGTGAGGCACAGTATACCAGCAATTTTAGCGAGAACTGGAAAAATTCTATGCCTCTAAGGCAGTTAAATTTGGCTTTCAATATCTCTTCCATTCTATCCAATCTTCTCCTTACCACTTCATTCTTATTGCCTCTTCATCTTACTTTGAGTAGGATATGATTGGCTCTTTGGGGAAGAGTTGATATGTATGTCTAGTTCATAAAGATTAAAGGAAAGGAAAAATCCATTTTACAATAGAGATTTAATTTCAAATAAAACATTAATATATTGTTGATGCTGAAGGTTTCTCTTGTCATCTAGGGAAACTACACTTATGCAACATCATGCTATTTACTTATTTTTTATTAAAGCTCCTAAGCTGTGTTCTGTTTATTAATTTGATATCAAGACAAATTTTTGCATTCTACATTATTCTATGAAAGATTATTAACAAAACTCTAGCATTTGATATTCTACAAAGAGATTATTGACAAGGTGTAAATGCATAAAGCCAGATTTTTCTCAGGAAAATGACAATAATGCAGAAATCCAAAGCTAGTGGACAAAGCTTCCTGGACAGACATAAAGATGACTTCAGAAATATTGTGAATAATTAGACTTTTTAGGATACTAAGGAATGACAATGTCCTGGATTTTATGAATTATAAGAACACTAATCCTTTTGTACCATCATAATATTGTTAGTATAAGACTTGAATGAAAATGAGGTCTCAATCACTTTGGGAAGGTGATCTTGAAAGAGAATGGTAATAAAGTAAAAAAAAAAAATTATCACACACTATTTATTGGTATTTTTAGTCATCATTCATTTTCTCATAACTGTCTTATTAACCTGATTAATTCTAATTAAATACCTAGAATGTGTTGAGTATCAGATCTTTCAAAATACACAACAGTTGAGCTCAAATTCTAAAAAAAAATCTTTAAAAAGTAATCTCCCTATTAATATATACTTGTTTTCTTGTGTTTTCACATAACAGGTAGATGAATATAGTAAGCTAATCATTTAATAGGTTGGTGAGATTGATGAATGGATTTTTACCCAGACTCAGCCACTTAGTTGAAAGTGACACCAAACATGTTAGAGTTTCCATTTACTCATGTGAAAAAGAAAATATCTATAATACTAATCTCATAATGCTATGAGGGAGCTTTGGTGGCTTCTTATTGTTGCTGAGTACCATCGAGTTGGAACTGATCCATAGCTAACCCTCCAATGGATTTTTTTAGATGCAGTAATTACACAAGATGAGATTGCCAATCTTTCTCCCACATAGCAACTTAGTGGAAAGAAATTGCACTGCCAACTCAAAGATACCTGGTTCTAATCCACCAGCTGCTCCGAGGTAGGATAGGCAATCTACTCTCTTGTAATTTACAGTCTGATAACCCTGGAGAAGGGTCACCTATGAGTCTGTTAAGACTCAATGGTACACAATAACAACAATGCTGTGAGGATGAATGAAAGAATTCTTAGAAGGCTTTAATGGGCTAGTAGGTAAGGAGTTGCACTGGCAAGCCAAAGGCAGGCAAAAGATAGGACTCTCCTCCCATGCAATTTATAGTTTCTGAGAACCCACTGGGGAGGGGACACATTGATGAGTTAGTTCCGCTCAGGTTCCGCGGCACATAACACTTTCCCCATTTAGTTATGTTCACTCATGGTCTCTTCAAGCCATTCACCTTTGTCTTTTAAAAAAATTTTACTTTTTTCTCCCCAAATCAGCTTGCTTTTTTTTTTCAATTTTAAGTGTACAATCTTGCTTATTTATTACATAATTTGTATGATTCTACTTTACAGTGGTATCTCTATTTAGAAATGAGACCTAAGAATTGTTACTAAGACTTTTGGGCCCAGATTTTCCAAGTCTCATTTTTGTATGTTTATGTTTAGATCGATTTCCTGGAAATTTTCTTTTGTACAATTGTCAAATAACCAAATAATGTTTTCCGTTATACTTGTACACAGCTCCCAAGTGCTTTAGAAATGATGTGAAAATAGTCTCTTCTAGCAGTGGAATAAGACCTTTTTATAAAGTTCACACAAAAATCTAGTTCAAGTCCTTAGACTTCACAACCCAGACATCTTCCCCAATCCCTTAGAACTTCATTTATCACACAGACACATAATGATCACAGTAATTGTAACACTGATTTGAAGTAAAATTTTTAATAAAAAGGATACCCTTTCAGCCTTTCCACCTCTTGCCCTACAGTAACTCCTTTTCAATTACATAAATAGGTAACAGCTTTCGGGAAGTGGAGCAGAGTTTGTCTGTCCTGGGACAGCAAGATTATCAAGTATTCCAGCTACTGACGAATTGGTATCTTAATAAAGGAAAGGAGACTTTAAAAGTCTCCTAATATGTTCTAAAGGGGGGAGGGAAATCACTAATCTTTACTATTTTTAAAATACTGGCAATTGTCGGTAGTCTTCTTCAGGAGAGAGATGACCTTGTACCAAGAGAATTAAAAACAAGCAATATTTGTGCAACAATTATTTTAAGAGTAAAAATTTTATTTTTGGACTCTGTGATTTGTACAACATTAAGTATAAAGTGAAACATACATTATTTTGGTGCTACTGCACCCGAGATTTAAAGCTTTCTTCCTAACCTGTGTGGTGACTTGACATTTATGTTGTAAATTACTGCGTCAGGGTACATCAAAGTGGGAGATGGTATGGAAAGCAGCGACTAAGGGGGATGGGAATGAAATGGCTCCGGCAGTGAATCCTAGAACTGAATGTGAGTGAGAGAAAATCCTCCTCCAGCCTCGGAGGGGGTGTCTCCCCCAATACCAGCTCCCTCCCCCCGGGCTCGCGGGGCGGGTCTGGTTTGCTCAGTAGCAGCAGCGGCCGCAGCAGCAGCCCCGAGGCTGAGCGCCGGTGGCCTCTAGGCAGCGCTGGGAAGCGGCTGGCCGTTCCGAAAGCGCCAGGCCTTGGGGAGATCTGGCCGCGGCTGCCGCCAGGATGGAGGACGCATCAAGCGGAGCCAGCAACACCCGGGACGGATTTCCTCCCCAGCTCAGCTCTCTCAAAGATTGGCGGGGCTGTCCCCCAGCGCCTGCGAGGAGGGAGAGGCCTGCGCCTTGGGCCTGGCAGAAGCAGCCGGCGAGCGAGGCGGGCGCAGCGGGGTAACGGGCGAGCGGCAGCCGCTCCCGGGAACCTACGCCGCCTCGGCCGCTCATTGTCTCTCCCCTTCCACCCCCGGGGCAAACAGGAAGCGCGCCGCCTGGCCGAACGACGGACGAGCGTCCGGACCAATGAATACACCCGGCACAGAGTGTGGTGGCGAATGAGCGGGAAGAAGAGAGGCAGGACTTCCGGGCGGGCTGTCACCCTCTTCCCCCCTTTTGGGCTGGAGGCTCCACCTTTTGTGTTTCCCGCACAGTCAATCAAAATAGGAAAAAAAATCCCCGGACCGCTCCGGCCGTGTCCGCCGCCGCTTCCCGCATCCTCTCCCGCCGCCTTCGCTCCTCACCATGTGTAAGGCGGCGGGGAGCCCCGCCTGAGGTGCCCTAAACACACTATGACCGGTACGTAAAGCCGAGAGAGCAACCCCTCCTGCTGCTGCTCCTGCTGTCGCTGCCGCCGACCACAGCTAGCCTGGGGCCGCCGCTGCCTCCGGCTCCTTGTGTGCGACCGAGTGTCTGTGAGAGGCAGAGAGCCGCAATCCCCTTGGCCTCCCTCCCTTCCTCGCCAGCCACCGTCCACCCCGCAAGCCCCAGCAATGCCGTGTCCCCGCCGGGCCCCGGGGCGGGCGGCCCAGTCCGCCGGGAGCGCATCCCCCTGTGTGCAGGCGCGGGCGGCGGGCGGGCGTGTGTGAGTGACTGACGGTGCGAGAGGAGCGAGCGCGAGTGAGAGCGAGCGGCGCGAAGGGAAAGGGGAGGAGAGGAGAGGGGGCAGGGGCAGCGCGGGGAGGAGGAGGAGGAGGGAAAGAGGAGGAGGAGGGTTACAGCCGCGGCGGGCGGGGGCAGCAGCAGGGGACTCGGGCAGGGCTTTCCAAGTGATTTCGCCTCGGCCCGCGGGCCCCCTCCCTCTCCTCCACCCCCCTTCCTTCCCCCTCCCCCCGCGCTGTGCCTGCAGCTCCCGAAAAGCCCGTGAAACAAGAGGAAATGGCTGCCTTGGACGTGGACAGCGGTGGCGGCGGCGGCAGCGGCGGCGGCGGCCACGGCGAGTATCTGCAGCAGCAGCAGCAACAACAACAGCAACAGCAGCAGCAGCAGCACGGAAACGGCGCGGTGGCGGCGGCGGTGGCCCAGGTGAGGAGCGGCTGAGCCCTGGCCGGGCTCCCCCCTCGCGCCGCTTTCTCCTCCCCTCGCCTCTCCCCTCCC